CCTTTGGATTAGGCTATTTCGTAATATGAACTCGAGAATACGACCTGCACATGTTCCGTGCGATGCTCGTTCCGTGTTGTTCGGTGCAACGCAGGTGCCATGTGTCATTAATGTCATCATTCTGTTAACGAAGCGTTACATACATGTCCAGCGTAGGGATGGTAGGACACTCGTGATGGCGCAGTTGAAATCACAGGTAGAACAGTTTTATGAGGCAGAGAGAATAATCGCTTTGAGAGAAAATCGAATGAAACATTTTGCTGCCAAATGGCGATGTATTTATGTTGAAAATGGTATAGCGATATAACGCTTACGGTCGACTGGTTCGATCAACATATGATTATGGGTTGTGTAATGTGTTGCAGGCAGGCGACACATGTAATATCAAGATATGTTTTAGTGATGTGCTGTGCTTCGCATGTGTAAATAAAGTGAAAAAACACTTGAAAAAAAGGCGTTCGTAATAGCATTTACTCTGCTCATGTACCTATCCCCGGTTATTTAAAAGAAGTTTTTGTGGGGGAATATCACGGCTTTAGGTACTCGGTGGCCCTATTCACGACTTTCAAAGAATGCTCCGATAACTAAACACCGCACAGACCTACTGCATTAGTGAATCTGACAGAAGGTCTGTGGAATTACATCCCCCCTTACCACACCCCTAAAAACTCATCCAGTGTCCAAAACCACTTTTATCGACTCGCCAAAAAAAACCACACACACACACACACACACACACACACACACACACACACACACACACACACACACATACACACACACAAAGCATGGGGCATGTCAGCTCTCAGTTCATTTATCATAGTGTCTTTACCATGGTTCAATTGCATTGCGCGATTTAAAGCACGTGAGTGCCTATATAGTATATATGTAGAAAATAATATCTACAGCAAAACATCCAAAATTACAAAGGCTACAATGCTTAAAAAGTAGGTTCATCAAGGAAGCCCATTTTTACTTGCGTTGTGTTCCCAACCATGCGATTCCAACGCGGGCTATTCGCAACGTCTGTTAAGGCACGTTAACAACTGACAAGCCGCCACCGCTGCCACTTATTCATAGATGGTTGATATCGCAGCTTGGGCGTCAGCAGCGCGGCCCACAGCGCGTCGGCGCCAGCGCACGCAGCTGTTGGCACTCGGCAGCCGGTGTTGCGACTTAACGGCCGGCCGGCCCCATGAAGGAGAAGCTCTTGGTGAAGCTTTGTGATCGCCTCATAGCCGCCTTGGATGTCATCTTTCTTGGCAGATCCATCCGTTCAGATGGTACGGTGCAGTCTGGATAAAGGACGAAGTCCAACGCCGCTAACCCCGCAACCGCCACCCCACAACGTGGCCGCAGACCGAACGGGCGTGAGGGCCGTAAGGGCCACCCCGCCATCCGGTAGGTGGCTGAGCAGCCGGGCGCAGCGGCGCCTGGGCGGCGGCCGCGCTGAGATGAAGTCCCAAACCGCCATGTCGCCATCACCGCCATCACCATTGCTGCAGCTGTTCCCAACCGCCTCAATCGCCGCCGTTTTGCCAGCAGTCGCGCCGCGGAATGGCAGAAGCTCCAGAGTAGCCTCCAGCGCCCCTCTCCGCACGTGTGCAGGTGCACTGCGGCCGCCGGGTCCGACGTCCAGGCAGAACATGATATTTCCATGCTGCTCCGACGGTGGGCTGGTCTTGTTTGGGCGTTCCTCCACTGTGACGTCGGTCACGCCTACCCCGGCCAGGGCGCAGAGGCCGACGTGTCACCATCCGGTTGCAGTCCTCAGTCGGGTCGCAACGTGTACCTCTTCCGCAGCGTGGAGCGCGCTCCCGCTGGGCAGCGATACAGCCAAAAGTAGCATAGCATGCGGGCGGCCAGCGCTGCGCCGGACAGCGGACCCATGCCGGGGGTATGCCGGTCTCGGCCATTAGCGGGGTCGTCGGGGCCGAGGCTGTACATACAGCTGGTGACCGCGTGAGCCGCCAATCGAAGCTCACGGCTTATAAGCTCGACGCGGGCATCACACGCCGTCCCGATGGGAGCTCCACGACGCCGCCGCGAACTCCAGCGCGGCTCGCAGCGCGAAGACCAGTACGGACGGCCGGGGCAAACGGCGTGCGGGAGTCGCAGGCGACGTTCTGCGGACAGAAAGGGTTGGGCATAAGCTGGTCGGCAGGACACTCTTGAGCCGAGCCTTTGATGTAATTACAGATGATCCAGAAGCATGCACAAAAATTCATGACACACTATTCTCATTTATGTATTTGCTACATATGATATGATATACCAGCTCATGATCAGTGACGCATTCTGGGCAATATGTTCTAAAGTGAAGTAACTGAAGTTACAGCTTAAAAGCTTTAAAAAAAAAACAGCTTAAAAAACACCCACATTCGATAGCTTATGAGAATAACATGCCTTGTGTGCTTAATGCAGGAAAATATTTTTTTCACTTTTTTAGAAACAGCAAAAGAGTTGTCAACAAGCCATGTCAACTATCTAAACAATTTTTATGGAAACTGCTCTAGCTAGCTTAAAGTTCCACAACGTTTCCGGAGCACCGTACCCAAACTCAGTTCATGTTACAAGAAAAAACAGTAATAATGCCTCCTAATTTTGAATGAAATATAGGTATGAGTAATTTGATTTGGAAAGCAACAAATTTCCGCACATCATTTTAGCAAAATTACTATTTTCTTCAGCCATCAGGTTACACAAAACTATAGTAAACTTTATGATCTAGTTTACACAAAACCAAAGCCCCGATTTTAACAAATGTAGATAAAATTTAAACAATTTTAAAAAATGTATCGTGGAGAAAATGAAAAGTGTAGATTTGTAAAGCCGGGATATTTCAATTTCACGGATTAGGCACTTAAAGAAATATCTTCACCTTTCTTTGAGCCACCAGCCTTCACCCAAGTTTTACACGAATGTAGTGAAGCAGACAATGTGGCAACTCAAAATTGTGATGGTTTGAGATAATTATGACGGTAAAAGAAAAAGCAACACAAGGTTCCTTACCCTCGTTTTTTCACATGGGTTCAGATGAGGCTTCAACTGTTGCCGACCTGAGGAGCTATAGGGACTTGAGCTTTCCAAAACTCAATTTCTAAGGGCACTGAGCAGTGTTTGGCTTTCACACGAATGCGATAGTAAGTTATATGAAGTTGACAAAGCAAGCAAAGCAAAGCATGATGCCCCGCGCGTCCGCCCGCGACCACGCCCCGCGTCCGACTCCCGACCGCCGCGTGACCCGAGGCTCCCGGCGGTCACGTGACCTACCGGCCGGGACTGCAAACGGCCTTCACCACCATTCTTGTATGACGTCATATCCTACTGAGGTGCTGATTGGTCGGAATTAGATACCTGAAGGTAATTATCTGCCGTAGTTATTTTTGTTTCATTGTTTTGCGTGTTTTCTTATATGAAATGTAATTAAAAAATTTGTCATATTTTAATCACCATTAAAACATAACTGAATAGGTATAAAAGAGAACTCGATATATACTTTCCTTGTTTTTAAGAATTCCGGAATTAGATACCCGAGGGAGCAAAGAGGGAGCAAGTTGCCACGCTGATTTAATACCTCATAGTCGAAAGGTGGGCTACTAGAACCAAAAATTGCTGTGTTTGTAAATAAATAAGTGATTTGAGGGCAAAAAATGCCCGGATTTAAACTTCTAAAATTATTTTGAACATAAAATATTTCAGTTTGAGGGATGTTAAGGCCTCTAAGGGTAGGTACTTTTTAGGTATCAAATAAGTTCCTCTGCGAAAGTTCCGTCGTGAAAACGGCCACATTGCAACAAAAAAGGTTGCAAATGTTAGCAGCACATACAACCTACATTTCACACACTTGCAGCATTTCTCACAATTTGCAGTAATGTGACTTTGTTCTGTTGACTAAAAAATCGATAATAAAAAGTTACGTTACGACAGCGTGCAACCCGTCATACAAATTAGCCCATTAGCTAATGACAATTTTCTGATGCAGCGATCGCCTGATCTGGCTTCATGTTACGTGCTGTGTATGACATCTGACATGAGACATCGAGTAAGCAGCACTCCGGGAATAAATTATTATTGCCATGCATTTAATCAACGACAACGTTCCTGCAGGTCCACTCGATTCTACGACTCGGAAAGAGAGGCAACATAGTTTGGCTCCTGCAGTAACAAAATGTATTATAATGTAAAAGGCAAAAACCTACTCAACGCATTTAAAATTCAATTCACACCTTTTCATTAGCCACAGCTTCATGCTGACTTTATGAAATAAAGCTCCGGCACCTGTTATTCAGTTATCACTGTAATGACGTGTAAAGTTATCAATGTAGGTACATAGGTTAAATCGACACCTTTTTTTAAACCCCACATTTGTTCTCCGGTGAATTTTAGACAAGTTGGTTAGACACCTTCAAAAAAGGTACAATCACTCGATTTTTCTCAAGTTTGTCTGTCTTGGCAGATAAAGCAATACCAGAACAGGCCTACGAACACACATATTTGATCAGGATCGGACGATTGGACACTTTTAAAAGGAGATATTTCGTGCCTCCCGGAAATTCACGGGAGGGCAGATGTGGGGTTAAAAAAAAGGTGTCGAAATGAGACCCCTTTATTACAAAATACAATACATGCAACCTGTATCTTTGCGCTTGGCTGCGGCAACGCCTGGTATAAGTAATGGAAATGCTTCCACATAGGCGCTTCACAGCGCAGTTGATCACTAAGGCATACGTTGTATCCACATATTAGCCTGTTTTGCCCAATGTATGCGATTTGTACGACCGACATCAGATAAAAAAATGGCATTGTCGAAATAAGGAACATCACCGCCAAAAAAAAAAAAAATCAAAGCAAAAAAGAAAGAAAGAAAAAGAAATCAACTGTTATCATTTTTATGCAGAGACGTTTTATTGTTTTTTTTTCTTCTAAAATACACATTCCATCAGTGGGTAAAGTAGGTATGTGCCATTGCTGTAGCCGTTCAAAAACTTGTTACTCACCAAACGTAGCCAGACGTTGGACTTCATAATCTGGTTCTTTTCATTCTGAAAAAAGAGGAATACATACCAGGTAAGTCTCTGGCAAATGTAAACACAAAACTGGCCATACAATCCCCCGCTCGCATCATGTTCAAAGCAGGACTATCAGGACACGGGATCTCCTGCGAACCTCACCATATATTCAAAGATTTTTTTAGGACTCAACGACTACCGACATTCCATCGTGCCCCCTCCCCTTCCTTTCTTCCCGCGGGACCGGGTGGGCCAATTTAGTCTGTTCCTGATTTCTTTAATCCCATAAATCCAGGTCGATTTATGCGATTTATGTACCATCTTTGGACAAACTACACATGCATGCACACCCAACGAAAAATATCACAACTTAAACCAAATTATCCAGCAAACTTAACCCGCGCCCCGTTGGGGTCTGCCAAGCAACGCTGGGTGGGGGTGGGGGAGGGTATTTTGACCCCCCCCCCCCTAAGATCTCGGTAACCACGCAACATAGCGAGAAGCAGCCGAGTCCGGAGTCATCAAACCGATGACGTCACAGGTCAGGCCAAATGTCGAATTTTTACCATTTACAGGCATTTCAAGAAATATGTTGTAAAAAAATTCGAGTAAAATGCATGTCATTGAAAATCATCGATGGGGTATTATTCATCAAACACATATTTTGCTATTTAAGGTCACTGATACCAGGTCAGGTCACAGAGGTCAGGTCACTGAGGGTCACAAGATGAAAATATCATGTGATGCATGTTTTATGGTCCATTTTACATGGCAAATGCGATTATGTGGGTCAGGCTGCTTTGGGGCCAGTTTAAGTTCTGATGAAGCCGAAGGTCAGTCCGGTAAACTTAGGTCAAAATTCAAATTTGATATTTTTGTATAAAATGGGTATCGATTCGATGTAGCTCGTCACGGGGAGTCTAATGGTGGTCATTGTTTTGCGCTACGTGGTCTAGAATAGCTAAACAATGAGTTAAAAATTTGACGTCATCAATTTTGAACAGTTTTCTCGTTATAACTTGGCCAAAAAAAGGAGATATCGATCTCAAATATGGTATGTAGATAGAGGAGCTATCATATATATTCCGATTTTTTCGAACTTCGAAAAAAAATCGGGATTTTTTATATTTTTCAAATCTTTTTTTGAGGGACAAAATCCCAAAATTTTGACAACCCGAGATAGCAGTTTTGTAGCGCCGTCTTTTCTCTACACGACCACATAAAGAACTTTGAAATTGCTTGTGAACTGTAGATTTTGTGAGCGTTTCAAGATGTCATGTTTTTTGCTCATTTTTGCTCGAACATGACCTCAGTTTGACCTCAATAATTCCTAGCCTACGGTAACCTATGACTTGAAATTGTGTGTGAAGGTGTCCAATTGATGCCCGGGAAGGTACTGAAAATTTGGCGGCGCTGTGCGCCGCCGTTTTCTTGCTATTCAGGAAAAACACAGTGGGCCACATTGCCCCCCCCCCCCCCTCCACCGGGGCGAGGGAAGAAAACGACGCTTCTTGATGTGAAGCTGATTCAATCACAAACATTTCCAACTATGGAAGACACGCATTATTGAAATTTACAGTGAAGTTCAGCTATAAATTAATAAAAAAAGCTATGTTTGCTCAAGTTATTCTGAAAAGAAAAGCCATTACCTCACCACGTACGTAACATATGAAAGGTACGTTTATTTATTTAAGCGTCCGTACAACTCACATATGTTTTAGATGATCATAACAACATTGATTGGAGTATAATTCAGGAAAATGACATGTCTGATATTTTTGGGCAACTGGCTCTCTGTCCTCCCCCCTTGTGACGCCGTCTCTGCTTGACATACAGTAAAATGACTGAATTTCCATGACCTCTGCCACGGTGCTACCGCTTCATTCGTCTGCGTAACACCTATGTATACCTAATGCAACCGCTACCTGCTCACTCAGTCGCCAACTACAACAAAGCTCGGTACCTATTTCATAATTTAGGCATACCATCTCCTCTATGCTAGTCATCATGAACGGAGCCATTCGCGTTACGTTGCACACGTCATGCCGTTGCAACGGGCTAAACCGTATCTACTACTCACCACGCTGATCAGCTGGATGAAGGCCAGGCCAAACTCGACGTTGACTGTTTTGGTCATGTTCTCAACTGGCCGAATCAGCTTGTTGTAGCCGAAGAAGAGGTCGGCCACCAGCCTTTCCTCGTCCTCCGAGCCAAGAGCTGAAACGGACAACATCGGCAGTGTCAGCGACTCCCCCTTATTGTGCCGTATAGGTATAAGTACCTCCTATATGGTCGCTGAGGTGAAGCTTCATTGAGGCGCAAATTAAACACCGTGTGGCATTGTAGTCTGCATTCTCCCATAATGAAAATATCCGCACCAAAACTCCTTTCTTTTTGTGTCGTAAGGGTTTCCCTTCAACGTGAAAGTTTCCCTTCAGTTGGAATCCCCGTGTGCTGACCAGGCAAATACAGTCGAGCCGGAGACGCGGTCGTGTGCGGTGCGTGCTGCAGGGGCGAACAAATTATCGTTATCATTTAACAGACAGTAACGTAACATGGCGCAGCCGACAGGTGCTGAGCTAGTGCAAGACCTCACCACCATGCTACGAGAGCAAGCCGCCGCCGCCCAAGAACGCGAACAGAGATTAGTCTCCATGATGGAGGATCTGCTGCGCGGTCAGGGTCAAGGTCAGACGCAGCCGCAGGCTTTGCCAGCCGCCTCCGCCCTCAACATGAACGTAAGCCCTCCGAAACTTCCAGTAAGTGCAACACCCGCTCCACATCTAGCTGGTCAAGCGAACCTCAGAGAATTTGCCATCTGAGGAGTAAATTTGAAGGATATTGCTCACTCACCGGGATTGACACTCTGCCATTCAGACAACAGCAAATGGTGCTAGAGGGGTTGGTTGATGATGACTGGTGCAGGATAATCCAGCATTCCATTTGTGCTGCCAACACAGTCACAGAGCTCCCAGCGCTTCTTGATGCAATGCAAAAGTATCTTCGAGACCAGAGGTCAGTTCTGCTGGACAGAAGGGAGTTTTTCTCCAGACGCCAAGCTGTCGGAGAGTCTTTCGACGAAGTTCTGATCTCTCTCAAGGAAATCAGCAAATTTTGTGACTTCTGCCCAGAATGTTCTGATGAGCGCCTGCGTGACCAGATTGTCATGGGTGTCAGGGATGAAAGTTTGTTGCGCAGCCTGCTAAATGTCAAGGACCTCAAACTACAGGAGGCTCTTGACATGGCCAGGAGCCATGAAGTTGCGTCCAAAAACTGTGCCACCTTGACTCACCATGCTGTTCAGAGAGTGGGACGAAAATCACAATATCAGAGGGACAAGTCCACAAGCCGTGCAAGGTCACAGTCCAAGTCGCGCTCAGCTTCAAACATGTGTAAATTCTGTGGCAACAAGTGGCATGGCAGGTTGCAGGACTGTCCTGCTCGTGGACACAAATGTTCAAAATGTGCCAAACTGAACCACTTTGAAAACATGTGCTTGGGAAAAATCCAGTCTCAGGAGCAGCACGTTCAACACCGTCATGTTCATCACCTCATAGCTGATGTGCACACTACCAGTCGTGTGACCCACCCGGCTCCCCGTGTGAAAGTGCTCGTCACACACAACTCTGGCAGCGGGTCTCTGCTTTGCATCCCCGACTCTGGTGCCGAAGCCACTGTTGTCGGCCCAAATGAGGCCGCCGCTCTGGGTGTGTCGGACTATGACAACGGTGTGCCACCCCAGACCTTCTCAGCTGCAGGAGGCTATCCGCTGACGTCTGTCGGCTCATTTCAGGCCACCATCCAGCTCGGCTCCCGGCGCATAACCACGGAGATCGCAGTCATCGGCGAGCTGCGAGGAGCACTGCTCTCCTGGTGGGACTCCGTGCAGCTCGGGATTTTCCCGGCCGACTACCCGCTGCAGTTACACCAGATGAGTCTTCCAGACTGCAGCAGAACAACAACAGCGCGGAACGCCGCGCCCGCCGGCGAGACGGCGCGGGGCGCCGCGGCCGCTCCGCCGGCGCAGAGCGCCGTACCTGAAGGTGGGCCAGCGCGAGGTGCGGCGGCCGCTCCGCCCGTGCGGCGCGCCGCGGCCGCGCGGTCGACACCGACGCGCCGCACTGATGCCGGCGGCCAGCCACCACGTGCTCAGGCACGTGACGCCGCCACCGTCCCCAGCCCATCCAGTGATCGGCCGACGACTACTCGCCGGCCGGCACAACCAGCAGTGTCGGGCACGGCCGTCCGGCCGCCATCGACCTGCACTGCCAGTCAGACGCCACCGGTCCAGGAGCGACCAGGAACTCCTGCCCGGCCCGCTAGCTCCCATGAGCGCGATCATCGCTCGCTGGCGACATCTATACCGGATACTCTGGATCCAACGAGCCCACCAGCGCCTCTAGCGGAGAACGTGGGAACCTCAGTTTCGTCCGCGGCCGACAGCCGGTCGATTCCGACCTGGACCAGTGCCCAGCCGCCGACACCACAACAGCGAGCTCGTCACGAAGAGCAACTGATCAGTGCATTCGCGAGCGTCTTCGACAACAAAAGCACTCTGAGAGAGATGGCCGGCGGACCGATGCACATCGACCTGGCTGACGGCGCGCGACCGTTCGCCATCACCGCCGCCAGGAGCATTCCGTTCTGCTGGCGCGACGGCGTGAAGCAACAGCTGGACGACCTTCTCGCGAGGGGCACCATCGACAAGGTCGATCACGCCACCGACTGGTGCCATCCATTGGTATGTGTGCCGAAAAAGCAGGGAGGAGTGCGCATCTGCATCGATCTAACAAGATTGAACAAGTACGTGAAACGCCCCACGTACCCTGTACGTCCACCGCATGAGGCGGTCTCGTCGATCACGCCAGACGCGCAGTGGTTGACCACCATGGACGCAGCAATGGGCTACTATCAAATCAGCCTGGATGACTCCTCTAAGGACTTGACCTGCTTCATTACTCCATGGGGCAGGTACCGCTTCAACCGTGCAGTGATGGGACTCGTCTCGGCCGGAGATGAGTACAACCGGCGAGGCGATCAGGCCCTGGGCGACGTGCCACGCACCGTCAAAGTTGTTGACGACATCCTGGCTCACGACGAGACGTATTCGGAGCATCTCGCTCATGTCGTCCGCATTCTGCAGAAATGTGAAGCACAGGGCATCACGCTCAACGCCCAGAAGTTCCGATTCGGCCGCACAAGTGTCGAATTTTGTGGCTACCAGATCTCTCGGGACGGCTACACAGTGGATCGCAGGAAGACGTCCGCCATCTCGGAGTTCCCGCGACCACAGAACATAACGGACCTGAGATCCTTCCTTGGACTCGCTAACCAGCTCTGAGCTCAGCTCCTTCTCTACCGAGGTGGCTCAGGAGGCGGCCCCCCTCCGAGATCTTCTGAAGCCTCGGAATACGTGGCTGTGGACCCCAGTACACGAGAACGCCTTCAGCAGGGTCAAGTCGGCGCTCAGTTCTCCGCCGATTCTGGGTTTCTTCGACCCCAGCCTCCCCACAGTGCTATGCACTGATGCAGCCAAGACCGGAGGACTGGGCTACGCTCTCCTCCAGTGTCACGGCCTCAAGGACTGGAGACTGATCCAGTGCGGATCACGGTTCCTCAGCGATGTAGAGTCTCGGTACGCCTGTATCGAGATGGAGATGGCCGGTGTCGTGTGGGCAATCAAGAAATGCCATCTCTACCTGGTCGGCATGCCTCACTTTGACGTCATCGTCGATCATCGCCCTCTCGTTCCAGTGCTCAACAGCAAGCTGCTATCTGAGATTGAGAACTGCCGCCTACAGCGGATGAGAGAAAAGCTCACGGCGTACACCTTCACCGCCAGCTGGCGGAAAGGATCATGCCATCAGATTCCTGATGCGCTCTCCCGTGCACCGGTCAACGACCCCTCGATGGAGGACGAGGTGGCTGAAGTCACCGAACCCGACCCGCTGCATCTGTCCGTGGTCACGGCCCTTACTGCCGTCGATGCAGAAGGGACACTTCTTGCGCCCCTGCAAGACAAGACGCTGGAGATGGTACGAGCCGCAGCGTCACGAGATCCTGAGTACACCGCGCTCCGAGACCTCATCATTCACGGGTTCCCCGATGAGAAGCACCGTCTCGACCCGTCCGTCCGTCCGTACTGGAACGTTCGAGACAAACTGGCCATCGATGACGGACTCATCGTATATGGACCTCGGCTCCTGATCCCACAAGAGCTCCGGAGAGAAACACTGCAACGACTTCACGATGGACATCAGGGCATCAACGCCACCTGCCGGAGAGCCCGCCAGACGGTCTACTGGCCGAGATGCGACTCCGATATCAAGCAGTGCGTAATATCATGCGCACGCTGCAGCATCTACCGGTCTGCCCAGCCTAAGGAGCCCCTGTGGCAGGACGATTCGCCGCCCACACGGGTGTTCGAGTCTGTATCGGCCGACTATTTTCACTACGGAGGACGAACTTTCCTCGTCTACGTCGACCGTCTATCTGGCTGGCCATACGTGACGTCATGCCCCCGATCGGCTTCCGCCGCTCACCTCGTGACCGAACTGCGGGCGCTGTTCGCAGCCACCGGCGTGCCGGCGCTCCTCCGGTCTGACGGAGGCCCGCAGTTCACCTCAGGCATCCTCCGCCGGTTCCTGACGCGGTGGGGGGTGGACCACCGTATATCATCACCTCATCATCACCAGGCTAACGGCCACGCAGAAGCTGCAGTAAAGAAGCTGAAGAATCTCGTCCGGAAAGCGACCGACGAAGGAAACCTGGACTCGGATGAATTCGCACGCGCCTTACTGGAGCTGCGAAACACGCCCCGCGCTGACGGCCGCTCACCAGCGCAGACTCTGTTCGGGCACCCAATCCGCACGGCTCTGCCCGTCCACCACAGGACGTTTGCCAAGGAGTGGCAAGAGGCGGCAGACGTGTGCGACGCCCGAGCAGCCGACCTTCGAAAGAAAGCGAAGCGGGACTACGACATCTCCGCCAGGCCACTAGCGCCGCTCGCAATGGGCGACCACGTGGACGTTCGGGACCCGCAGACCGGACAGTGGGACCGGACCGGCATCGTCGTGGGAATTGGAAAACGCCGCGACTACCTCATCAAAGTCCCGAGCGGGAGAATCTGGTGGCGCAACCGGCGCTACCTGAGGCGCCACCATCCGCTGATCGTCGCTGCGCCGTCTGCCGGTGACCGAGATCCGTCGCCGCCGACGCGTGCCGCCTGCCGCT